CTTCCCCCCCTTCCCCCCCGCCCCAAGCCCTACACTGTGAAGTGATACTGCCTCGAAGACCCCTCGACGTTATTTATTTAATTAAAAACCTAATTTGAAAGTGACCTGGAAGCCTGTCCTGTTTATGGAGTCTGAGATGCCGCAGCCCTGTGCATCGTTGATGGCAGAAGTGAGAAAAGGGGTCCTTGCGTTTCCTGTCTGATCCTCTCCCATCCTGGGAGCACAGCTTTCCCTGCACAGCATTCGGGAAGCTGTCGGCAGCGGATGTTCGGCCAGGGCACGGGATGTGGTTTGTCCTTGGGAGGTGGTGGGCCAGGTAATGACCCTGGAGCCCTGTGGGATCATGTCCTCCCATCTTGGGTGCCGCGATTGCCTGCCAGGACAGTCCTGAGGTCCTGGTACAGAGGCTGAACTCATCCTGCTCTTAAGGGCAGCTGCTTCTGCTTGGTGAGAAGCATCTTCATCCTGGGATCAGTGAAGAGCTTGTGCCACCAGCTCGCCCTGCCAGAGCCAGGTCCGTGGTGCGGGTGCTTCCCATGGCCCCAGCGTGTGTGAGCTGCCCGGTGGCTACGGCTCTTGTCCCAGGGGGGCTGGTTCTCAGGGTCTCTCCTTTCTCTGTTCCTGGCCTGCCCACCTTCCCGTGCCTCGTACCAGCCATCACAAGCTGGGAAGAGGCCCAGCTTCCTTGGTTGAATTTACCATCCTGGCACCGTGCGTGGAGGGGGAGGGAGGCGTTCGTTGCTCCTACAGGTGCCCCGAGTCCTGTGAAACCCTGGCAGCCTTCGGAGAGTCCGTGGCAGTGGGAGGCAGGGGTCCATCCACATCTCACTGGCTTCAGCCAGAAATAACATCCTGGAGGCGAGAGAAACGTTCCTGCTGCAACTGCGTTCTATGTTTCCTCAAGAAGGCTCGTTCCTCGCCACAAAGCCCCTCTGTTTTGTCAGAAACCCCTTCAATTCTTTTCCCCAGCTCTTACCTGGCTCTTGTCTTCTGTCCCAGGGCCTCGGGGTGGGGACGGGGGCTCCAGTCTCCATCGCTGACAGCTGGAAAAT